ATGAGAGAGAGAGACAGAGAGACAGAGACAGAGAGACAGAGAGAGAGAGAGAGAGAGGAGAGAGAGAACAGAAAAAGAAAAAGCAGCATGATGGACAGAGAACAAAGAACAAAAGCAGGAGAAAAAGAGGGATTCAAGTCTAGATGGCACCCAGAAAAGAAAAGAAATGGCAGGTTCATATAGAATCCATTCTCCTGCTCCTTCCTTCCTTCTTCTACTTCTAGTCCTCACTTCTCCAACCTCTCCCTGACCTTCCTCTGCTCCTCTTTCCAATTCCCCCTTGTTCATTCCCCCATTCACTGGCTGCTCTTATGTGAGGAATGCCGGATGCTTGCCTACGGCTGAAAATGTCTGGCCCACATAATGTCAACCTGATTTCTCTGGCTGTCTGAGTTGCCACATTGCCACGGAAGAAAGGAAAGGAGAGGAGAGGAAAGGAGGAGGAAAACATGTAAAAAAAAAAGTAAAGACAATAAAAGAGATTTGGACATATGTGTAGTAAAACTGGGAGACAAGAGAGAGACAGTATAGTTCCCTTTCTGTAGCCCTTCACTGCGGGTGGTTGGTAATTCGACCTTGAATCTTAATATGACTCAGTCGTGCACCTGTTTAGTGTGTGTGTGAGTGTGTGTCTCCAGCCTGTCATCATGCCAGTGATACCCAGAATTCCTTGCCTCCTTTCTCTCCGGAGCAACACAAAGAAATCTGTGTTACCATGCCAACCGATCAAAGCGCTAGACACCCACCCCCCATAATCCTTTTTGGCTGCCCTTCCCTGCATGCCTTACATAAAAAACAACAAATATATTCAATATATGTCCTGATGACACCATTTTTAGACGTTTAAGTGAATTTGAGTGCACAGCTGCATTTGTTTCTGCAGGTTTTAGAAAACGCAGCTTCATTTTCAGTAAGTGAGTCTCAAAAATGCATCTGCATCAATGGAAAATCAACAGGGTAGTCTGCAACTGATGAAATGTGGAGATTAATGGTTTCTGCAACTGCACTCAATACAGAATATGAGAAATTCTATTTTGGACTGTCCTTGCTTCTGATTTGTGCTCCCCTTTTTATCAGTCATGTCTCATTTACAGTGTAATGAAAACATAAAATTCTCATAGGGTATATATCATGATGTTACTATCCACTCTAAAAATCTAATTTTTATTTGCAGAATGGTTTAGTCCTGTGCTCTCCTGTCCTTTCAGTGAGCTTTCAGAGGTGACTATATAGCTAGTCCTCTTTCTCTTTAAAGGCATCGCAACACTAAAAACATTTTTGTCCTACTAATAAACAGATGCCGCTGCAGGGCGTCCCTCATTATGTATCTCTCTTCCATATATACTGCATCAAGACAGCAGTCATTTTTAAGCCTCAGTACCCCTCTAATTTCTGGATGACCCTTTGTTATCATTTTTAGCAGCAAACATAACAATGAAACATCCAGAAAATTCCTCTCTAACAAGGATGTTACCTTGTGGCACATATTTTCTTCTGTTGTCTCCATGTTGAAAGAAAGAGTAACTTTTGCATCGGCTGCTTCGTGTTAGGAGTTTTGTTGGGAAACGGGAGCTTTATAAGAAACATATGTCTCCCAGTAACAAAACAAATGCTTCAACGACCAGAAAAACTAGCGCAATGTACAAATAAATGGTATGGCAAGTTGGCAACAAGGATTTAATGTTAAACAAATGTACTGTATGGTTATGGTCATGAAGGTGAAATAAATGTGAATATCATGTACTGGTGAAGGGCTTATGTGTGTGTATGATTACTTCAGTGATTTCTGAAAGAATTATGTGAGAATGTGGGCATGTGCATGTGCAAGCCTGTCCTTTCTTTCCAGGCCTACATGTACAACAAACGGGCTTTTCCAAACCCCTGCGCATACTCTCATATCCCAAATATTCCAAATTCCTTCCTTCCTTTCCTCTGCAGCTTCTCTCATTTTCCGCTGGAGAGCATTGGGGCCCCTGAGTACCAGTGAGAGTTGCTGTCTGTGATGCCACCCCCTAGAGGAAGCGCTATGAATGGCTGACTGTGGCTGCCACTCACTGCTGGGTACACGTGGCCGATGGACTCGCTGTGTCGCCCGATGTGAATTTCGTCGTCGTCATCCTCCGTGGTTTTGCGGTACACTGGGTTGTCGAAGTTCATGCTCTTGGTGTTCTTGCGCCGCCAGTTGCGCCAAACCAGGTATCCGCCAGTGCAGAGTAATCCGATGACCACTGTGGCAAGGATAGGGACTGCATGTGTTTAACACACACACAACAACAACACACGGCGGGAGCGTTAACACAGCCCAGGGGACACAGAGCGGCGCTTTAAGCACTCACACACACAAACACACCTTGCATACTTTTCTTAATCTACTGAGGGCTCATTATTTTCTTAATCTTTATTTTTTTAAATCGTCTTTAATGGAATGATCAAAGTTTTTTTTTAATTTATTTTATTTTATTTTATTAGGTTGCAATGTACCTTTTACCTCTATCGGGCTAATCTACTTGTTTCCCTTTAAAAGCAATAAAAAAGTTGTTAGGTGCAACAGTCAAAAAGCAAAAGAAGCAACATTGTTATAAAAAACCTGGAGAATTCATTGGTGTTGTTTGTTCTTTAAAACATTTGAAAATGTGATTACAATATCCATCCTGTACATCCACCTGCTATTTAAAAAACAGAAAATAATGAGCCTTCAAACTGTATATATATACTATATACATATTCTATTACATTCCATCTCAGTCTCCACAATGATCAAATACACACAAACTTGAATGCACATGCACAATTTGCAACAATGAATGCCTGCATGGACCATCACACACACACACACACACTGTTCTATAAACTCCACACCCAAGAGACAAGTGCACACACACACAAACACACACGCATACATAATACATGCATACACAAAGACTGAAGCACGGAGACTTTTCTATTAAATCTTGTAAAATTAAGGTCCTGAAGCCAGTGATTAGGGTTTCGGGGAGTTTTGAAAAAAAGACCAGCAAGGTTGCTTAACTGTCATCACCGTATTATTCTTATGCTACATTTGGGCTATGATTTATAATTTTGCACTAGCCTTGGCAAAGAAATTAAACACTATCTGCAGACAGCCTGACTCTGACTGAGTTTTTGGATGGGGTTATGAGACGAGACTCGACAGGGGAAGAAGAAGAGGGAAGGAGAGAGTGAAAGGGGGATTGGAGGATTTGAGATAAGCTCTGTTTCTCTCCGCTCATTATCATATCAGCATGGCTGCCTAACTGCCCTGTAGGACCTGTGTGTGCATAGTGCATGTATATGTAACAGCCAAATCAGACGTGTGTCAATGAGGAGAGATAAAACAAGTGTGTGTGGGTGTGTATTTTTGTGTGTATGCTCACATCCATATATGTGTCTGCATCCCCTGCGGAAGCCCCATCTAATTGCTCTTTTGTTGGATAGGCACTCGAGATCCCTGTGTGACTGGGCTGGAAACCCCAGATCCTCCTTTGTTCTTCTCTAAATGCTCACTGGTTAAAAAAAAAAACATCAGCTTTTGTCTCATTTAGAAAATTTCACTCCAATTAGAGAGTGGCATAACAGCCTGACTTTGGCTAAATACTGATAATCATTGTCGGGCTGTTTCCCCTTGTGGAGCCGTGGGTGGGCGTGGTGCATTAGTGGATGTGAGTGGAGAACTGGGGTGCAGAAATCCGGCCCTGGTGGACCTCCAACAGTAATTAATGTGTCAAAGCTGCCAAAAAATGCAGAATGGGGGAGTTTATGGCAGCAATGAATGGCAGAAGGACATAATGGGGGTTGGAGTGGAAAGGGTTAACAGTCTCTGGGGTTGTTTTTAATGAGCTGATATCTCAATCGTCGAGAATGAAAAGAGAAAAAAACTGCTATACAATGTTTTAGAGCTCCCATAATTGATCAAAGTATTCAATATTAGGGATGAAAGAGATCTCAATTAGCGACATATGCTGCTACTATAAGGTCATTTGCACATGCAGCTGATTTAGTTAGTTAGGTTATGCATGAAAGTATTAAATATTTCCATAAAATTTGATTTTAATTTTAATGAAAGCTAATACAATAGATTCACTTTACTAAGCTGGTTTGACTGTAAGAACTTGCATTCTCTTTGAAGGCCTACCTTATATTAATTGTATGGTAGTTTGGTGGCCTAGTGTTTTTTATACCCTAACAATATATTATTTGACCTGGGAAATTATGTTTTTGGCCTGAAACAGTGGAGATTTTGACCTGGGAAATATACATTTTATCTCATTAAGCCTTCTTTCAGTTTTTTTATATTTCCTACCATTCAAAAACTGATTCCAGCAACTGTGTGAGCCACTTTTAGTCCACTGGGTCAGACAAATAGGTCAGAGCAATGGATTGATTTCAGTGTGGGCAATATTGTATGATCGGAGTGGGAACATGAGCTTAATGTTATAACAGCTGGTCAAATGTGATGACAAAACATGAACTGAATTTCCCATTTACTCAAATCTCTTTAATAATGACATAATGTGCACATTGCAAAGGCCTGGCCATCACTGACAAGCTTACTGGCCAATAATGGCTTTTTCTAGCCGTAGGCCAGGATGCTATTGTTGGATAATACCTCAGCTCAGTACATTTTCTCAATTACTAAACTGTTATTTTGTGCTCAAGCATCGCTGCTGAGGCTGACATCGGACTTGCACGTTCAAAAGACACAAATTGTTATCTAAAACATACTCATTTTAATCAGTCAGGTGGGCGTACAAACACTCTAAAACCCAGTCACTCACACACAAGTCCACACTCCGCCAGACATATAAAATACCACATCCACACACAACATGCAGGACTTGAGCGACAAGCTGAGACGGAGAAGCAAGGAGGGAGAAGCAGGCGGGCAAAAAGCAACACAGCGAGAAAGTCAAGAGTACTCACCAATAGGAATGACTATCCCCAGAACAGCTACTGTGATGTTGTTACCTATGAGGTAGTGATCACTCGCAGCTGAGATGAAGAAAAGAAAAAAAGAGAGAAAGAAAAATAAAACTAAATAAAAAGTTGTGTTCCAAAACACCTTCCCCTAAGGCCTTGCTAGAGAGAAACAAAAAGCTTGAAGCATTGTGCTGGAAACAACTTATTTGCATAATATACGGGCAGAGAATCCATCTGATTTTACTTTGGACTGCATGTGTAAATGAAATGCTGGTGAATGCAGGATGACATAAAAATGCAATGAGATGCATTTTAATACAAGAGGAGACACATGCAATTTCAGGGAGTAATGCATCAAATTTTTTACTAATACAATTCAAAAAACAAATTTGGATTTAGGACGCAATACATCTTTCACTGGAGGTTTGAAACAAACTCCAGGTGATCTTGAGAGTGAAAATAAACACATGACACTGTGTTGCAAGTCATTCTTTATCTTCTTGCTTTGTATCCGTACTCCCCTTCAACTCTCACCCCAACAGGTCGGTGTGGAGCTTGACATTAATCCTGCTCCCAACCCTCCTATTAGCAGCATGTTAGCCATTAGACAAAGTGTGATCAGATGGGTATAATGAAGTCTAGTGAGGAAGATTAACAGAAGAGATCACAGCGCTGGCCCTGCATACTGATTGGCTCATTCTTGAAAGAGACTCTGTGTAGTTGTAAGCACGTAAAAAAGCACAGATGGGAGGTGACGGATGGGACATACAATTATGACATATTTTCTCTCATAAAAGCAATAAAAGCCGTACGATGAATGCACACACACGCACACAAATGGCACTTTAACATAAAGAGGCACAGCAGGTGATATGACTTCAGAATGAGCAGTGAGGCGCCTGAATCCTGATTCAGCAGAAGTGAATTTGGCTTTTCTTAAAGGATGAGTAATGTCCAATGAGTCTTAAGAATCTAAAGGGCGGATTAATAGAATCTTATTGAAGCAGCGGTTATGAAAGAAGCAGTCCTGGAAAGTGAAGTCAAAGAGAGAGTGAGAGAGAAAGTGAGAAAATTTCTCAGTTTCATTAAGATTATTATTGCTGAAGGGATTTTGAGTTCAAAGAGAATTAGCTGTTGTCTGCCTCCATTAAAACCTCCCTACTTACATCCCTATATTGTCATACAGTCTCCTATACATATAACCCTATCATCGTATAGGTCACCTAAGGTATACACGGTAGATAATATTAAAGTCAATATGTAGGAATATTAACTGCATACACTGAGCCAAAGCTTAAGGAAGATTTGTATCATTCTGAATGTCTTTGTAAGTCAAAGGGAAAACCCATTTGAAAGCAGTCCTTACAGTTGGGGTGGCCAAAATTAAAGGACAGGTACACATTTCTCCAAGTGCCCATACATTGAAATGGTTTTGCTTGCTGTAATCAAAAACTCTGAAAGATATTTTGATTTGTTTAACTGAGTGACTGCAGAAGCCTCATATTAACTTCAGATAGAGTTTATTGCATTTATTTTCACACTGAATAAGGACTGTGGATTTTGTCACCCATCACTTACATTGAAAGTGCTTTATAAAGAAGTCTCTTTGGAGACAGTATGAACAAGCAAAACCTGTCTGTTTAACAGCAAGACAGCAGACTGATCAATCATTACTGCCATCAAGAGTGAAGGTTCATATTTGTAAGAGCATATGAGCTTTGCGTACCAGCTGTGGTTTATCTTTTATTCCTGAAACTCCTGGTTCTTCCTCGCTCCACCACGCCAGCCACAGTGCCGCACATGTGTAACAGCTGATGCTGGCAAACTTGACAGTGTGCACTGAGTTGAAAATTATAACACATGGCCCGTGGGTTTGGAGACGCGTCTTGTTCATGCCCCATTTTCTCATCCGTGTCTGCTCCACCTCTCATCTGGAGCACTTGTGTTGTGGTGAGGAGGCTGACAACTTCAGAGACTAGAGAAAACATGTTCCTGCTTCTTAGTAACTCTGAAAAGCTCAGGCCCCCAAAGTGATGAGACTCACTGTAGCAGCCATTCTCTTTAATTTCCAGAAAATCACTTTCTCTCCTACCTCTCTTCCATCCATTTTCTTATCCTTGTAAATGCTGTTTTCCCTCCCAACCGTGTGTCATTTTATAACTCCCATCCTCCCTGTTCAAGTGCTGTCATATTCCTTTTTGTGCTTTCTTCATTCTTTTTCCTCTATGGCCTCTTTATTGTCTCTCACCGTATCTTTTCATTTAACAAGTTTTACTCCTCGCTCTTCTTCCTCATTCATCTCCCTGTCCCACCTATGCCTCTAATTCTTCCTTTTCCTCCAACTCTCACACCCACTTTCATCATCCTTTTCTCCTTTCCCTCTGTATTTTTAAACATCAGCCCTTACTCTCCTGGTTCCTCAATATAATGAGAAATGTCTCAGATCTCAAAATCTGAGTTCAAACCCTACAGCAGCTTGCAATCTTTCTAACCCTCCTTGCTTTTTTTTTTAACTTCCTTCTACTTCTTCTGTTCTATCTTTTATTATCTGCTGAACAGTAGGCCATTCAAGCATCAGAAATTACGTAAAGTTCTTCTAGTGTGTACGTAACTGCATGAATCCATTGAGTATTTGACATTGTTTTACTGTAACTGGTCTGAAAAGGGGGATGCAATAGCAGAACATACAGAAACTCTGAATGTGAAAGAGTCAGTACTTAAAAGAGAAATTTATTTGGACTTGGATTTATTTATTTGGACTTGGATTTATTTATTTGGTGATTTTTTTCTAACTCTCTACAGGAACAAATGACTTGAAATAGTTACAGCATTCTGACAGTTACCACTATTTCATGTTAATGTCTCTATGTAGCAATGGCCACAAAGAAAGTCGAAAAGAACAGACTTCTGCAACAAAATCACACCATGTGGTGTGCAGCACAGTGGTTTATCAATTTTGCTTCGCGGTACTATCAAGGATTGTTCTCGGCTACCAAATACAATTTAAGTCTTAGCGTGGCTTTGTAAACTATTGTTAGTGCCGTTATATTCTGCTGTCATTGTTTGTCTGGGCAACAAATTGTAAAGCAGAATTTTTCTGGTGTGCCAGTTAAGCTTGATTGTTGCAGAGAAGGCTGCCAGTTTTGGAGAGCGAGGGTGAAAGAGAGGAGGAGAGTGAAAGACAAAGAGAGTAAGAAATGCTGTCAGAAAGTAAGGATGAGTGATGAGAGGTGGCAGGTGAGAATGGAGCGGACTGTCGTTTGTTAGCTCTGACAGCTCTGTTACACACTGCTCATGAGGGACCTACAACAAGCAGACCAAGAGATACACTACTGAGTGTGTGTATGTGTGTGTGCCAGATAGAAAAGCAGGGATAGGGAAAGAGGACAGTAGATAGACAGATGGTCAGACAAGAAGGCGAAGGGGGAGAGAAGCAAGAGAGAGGAGGGAAGCTGATGTAAGTAGTGGCTTTCAGCTCCCCGCTGCTTTAATGGCAGGTGGTAGCGGCAGTGATAACACCGGAGTATTACACTCACAGCACACACACACAGTATGCATACACCCACTTCACACAAACTCACATTCCTGTGTACAAACCCTGCTCACCACGAGCCTTACCTCTGTGGGAGAGGTTGCCGTTGCTCTCTCTCTGAATGCTGTTGGGGGCCACTGGGCCCAATAGGGGTGTGTGTGTGGAAGTGGATGTCTGAGTTGTGCTGCTGAAACTGGTCGTCTCTGTACTTGTAGCAGCGGGGGTCCGGGGCTGCTCAGTAGAGGTGCTCCTGGGGGTCTGAGGATGTGCTGGCGTCATCAGACGTCTGGTGGTGGGCCTGAGTGTCGTAGCAGCAGAGGTGGTAGTGGTGCTTGTGGTCGTTGTGGTAGGGGGTGTTGTGGTGGTGGTAACAGTTGTGCTAGTTGGTGTAGTGCTTGTAGTGGTTGTGGTGGGAGTTGTGGTGGTGGTGGTCGGAGCAGCTGTTGTAGTTGTTCTGGGTCGAACTGCACAAGAGAAACAAGACAATAATCATTAGCATCTGGGATTTTACTTGAAGATGCCAGCTGGCGAGTACGTCGACTAGAATTGTAGTATTTTGGGCATCAATATACAGCACGTAGATTATAAAGTTAAAACAAGCTCCAAACTCCCCAGAGCTTTAAATAGCTGAGTTAAAATAATGATCACATATATTGGAAGCTAAGTAAACGGATGTTCAAAGCAGTCAACTTTGTTAAGCTTAGAATCATTCATTTGGATAATAGACATTTTAGAACAAGAACAATGTTGTATCATGCAATTCAGAAAAATATAATAGTGAATATTTTCCCTGCCCTAGTTTTCAATACCAAAATGTGGATGGATGACAAACATGGTAATGAACCTCTGCTTCGTATTAGAAGGGTATATCAGGTATGCTTTATCCACCTTTTGTTTATTTAACAGCGACAGTTAAGCAATGACACAGATATAATGTATATAGGGTGTCTAGCTCAAGCTAACTGGCTTTTTATTATTATTATTAAAGCCCTTCCCCCTACCTCCCTCTCTCCTTTTCTCTCTCTCTCTCTAAACCCAATCGGTGGAGGCAGACAGCCGCCCACCTAGAGCCGGGGTCTGTTTGAGATTTCTGCCTCTTAACAGGAAGTTCTTCCTTACCACTGTTGCCAAGTGCTTGCTCATGTGGGAAATGTTGGGTCCCTTTAAATTTTATTTTATAAGGATAAGACCTGCTCTCTATGAAAAGTGTCCTGAGATAACTTCTGTTATGATTTAATGCTATACAAATACAGTGAATAGAATTTTTTTTATCATCTCCAGCTCTGTCTCTGATCCATTTTTTGTTTATCCATATTGCATAAACCACATATAAACAGGCCACCTTTGATATACCTTTCTGCTTGCATTATCACACAACCACATGACAGTAGAAAAAGCGATTTGATTGGGAATTTCCAAAACATTTCATGGTTGCTGCAAAACTGATAAGGTATTGCTCCAAAAGACATAAAGCAGAGAGCAAGAGGAACATAATGTAAAGGGGCCATTTTATCAAGGCTTAATAAGTGCTCAGCAGAAATACTTGTACTGCATTAGGAAGTCAAAAAATTGTGAGTGGTCTCTCTCTCTATTCATGCTCAGGGGCCATGTTTTCCCCCCCATCCTTTCTCAGAGGGATTCTCAGAATGGTAGCCTACATACATCATCATCTCTTTCTCCCTTTTCTCTATGTCAGCTCCTTTCTCCTCACCTGTGCAAACAAGAGCTGCAACAACCGAGCGGGTTCATTAAGGATAACAACTTAACAAATGTGAAATGTGGCGACGGTAGAGGCTGGGAACTGGCTGAGCGGTGAAGTAAGGTCAGGGAAATAATGGAGGTGTGCTGGGAACACAGGCAAGCTAGGAGAATCCCTGACCCACTTCCCAAGATAGTGTTACAGTCAGCACAGGTATCAAATTCTCTGAAGGAGTTTGCTTTTGAATCAATCATAATTAATACAATAAGATACAAACATTTTGAATTGTTGAAGGCTGATACTAGTGATAAAAGCTGCAATAGTCAATAGGCTATTTTGTTATTTGAGACAAATAATGGTTACAAATATAAAAGCTATATTGTGTATAAGAGCAGATTATTTCCCCACTAGCAAGCAACACACTTCATATGCATAACTGTTATTGTATTTAATACACACATATACTGTATATATTTTACTTAGAATTTTAAAAGGATTCAGTGGATCTCGTCAAATATTACATTTTTACATGTGGGAATACCAGTATGGTAAGCTATAGGTTTTAGATCTAAAACCTATTATGAAATGAGTTTGACTTGGTCTTGCTGTGGTGAGAGAAGAACCTAAATTAAATTTGACAAGACAGCCCAAGTTTCAAGTCATCATATATAACCAAAAAATAACCCTTTTAGTATTTCCTATTTCCTATATCCTAGTCTATAATGACATGAGATGTTTCCCATAGCGATCCATGTGTATGGTAGGATTCCACCAATGTACTGAATAGTTTAAAGTGGAACATTTATTTAAAGATATGTATAAATACTTAATAATGAGGTGGACTGCTTTTCACTCAGAGTGAAACCAGTTTAATATCCTTATGGCCTCACACGTAGCCTTCGCGTGACATTCCTCGGCACAATCCCTTTAATTAAGTGTGCTCCTGGACTCTGTGATTTATAGGTTTCATAGTGTGACCGACTTACCTACAGCACAGCGCCTCATGTCTGGTCCCAGCTCCATGCCATCAGGGCAGGCACAGGTGTACTTGGGAGAGTGGTCTGTAATCTGGGGGGCCTTAAGACAGAGGTACTCACACCCGCCGTTGGGCAGACTACCCATGTTACAGGTATCGGGGGCTTGAGGGACACAAGCAGAAATGAAGAGAATCAAAAAGGGTTTGGGTAAATATGAGTTTGCACATTTTCCTTTACAAAAATTCAGAAACTTTCACTGAGGACTTTTATCAAAATGTGGTGCTTTCTCCAAATGTTCTGTAAATTGAAATCTCATGTCAGTGCCAGGGTGATGAGCACAGAGGTTTACGTGTACCGAAGACCAGAATAGTTAATAAGAAAAGGCTATTAAGAATTGAAGACAGAGTCCCAGTTTTGGGTCTTGGTCAGCATCAAAAGCATCAAAGTAAATGTGAACTGAAGCTAGTGGTAAGAAGAATCTAAGCCCCTGTACAAAAGTTAAAAAATTCTAGTTGACCTAGCAAAACATGTTGGCATGTGTAATGGCTTAATAATTATTTTTCTTCATTTTGTTTTTTGGATGGATATTATACTTGTGCTTGTAGGGGGTAAATCTGGACCCCAAATTTAAAAACACCAAGTCAGAGCATAGGCTCTTGAGCATTTGTAGTAGTATCTAATCAGCCTAAATACTTGTTCTACTTACTACCTATTAACTTTATTGTGTACCATACTGCAAAACAACATAAATAAATAAATAGATCCTGAGACCAACTTTTACAGTGTTATTTATGGGCTACATTTATTCCACAACCTTTTTTCCGGTCCAGTGAAGAGATGCTTAGGTTAAGACAAGGGTGTCTAAACTTTTTTTTTTTCCCCATCTCAGCATTCCAATGAAAAATTTAAATGTAATTTCCTAACCAAGATACTCTTGTCATGTGGGGAAGCACCAGAATTAGGTCAGGTCGCGGTCGATTCAGCCTCCTGACTTGTGCATAGTTTTAGAGAGCAGCACATCAGAGGAATCATCAGCCATAAAGGGAAACAGCATTATCACTCACTGCACACAGTGAGTTTTGAATGGGCTGGGAATACATTTATTCTCGATATCTCAGCATAAAAAGCATGTAATATGAACTCATACACCTGCTTTCCATATTAAGAATAAATTAAAATCTTTGGGTAAAAGCAAGTCTTTGAAATGCCATGATACATTATGACAAAACATTTGAATTCTATTCTGGGGGAAGAAAGGGGCACAAGGGTGGAAGGGAAGAGGAGGAGAGAAGAGGAAGAGAGAGAAAAATAGGTAATAGGAAAGCAAATAAAGTAAGATGAGAAGGAAAGATATAAGCACAGACGGAGAGAGATGGAGATAACATTTTGAATGATGTTGTTCTGAAGTTGCAATCGCTCCAGTGTCCCCCTCCTGCTTCTCTGTGCTGCATCCCTTAGGTCTGGGATAAGAACTAAAACACGGAACTTAGGCTTCAAAGCAAAGCTGAATGGATAATAATAAAAAAGCACAACAAAGAGAGGATAGGAAGAAAAGGCTCTTTTGAGGAAGTAGTTTAAAAAAAATGAAGACATGTTCGGTTGGAGCCATATTTAAATGTGTTGATGTGTACTACTACAGTGATGATCTTCCCTTTTGGGTTTTGTTTGGATAAGCATATTTTATGATGGAAAAACCGATATGAAAAGCAAGAGAGAAAGGTAAAACAGTGAAACAAAAGGAAGAGGGTGTTGACCTTGAAAATGGCTTCACTCAAGGTCACATTGTTATCAGTGCTACTCATATATCTTTACAGGGCAGCTAGAATTTATTCAGTGTGTCTTAATTTAGCCTAGTTAGGCCTGGTTGTTTTATGTCTTGCTTTTGTTGGCATTTTGGAAAAAACATGCTTAATTCTGTGATATCTCTTTGAACAGAACTCTTGATTTATTAATGAGAGAATGCAATTAGCTCCCTACTGACACTTAGACAAGACTGCTTTGAGCTCTGAGTGAGAGGAGAAAACAAAGCATGAAAACAGAGACTCTCACAAGCAAATTTGCCTATACACACTGTCAAATACACACAAACACACACGCTACACAGGTGTTTGTTCGTACATCTGGAAAAGCATCCATCCTGGGAAAAATACAACATCACAACCCATCATTTGAAATTCACAGCACACACATTGATCTAATCACACATCAGGTTATTTATTTACTTTATTTATTTATTTTTTTTGGTTATGGCTTATTTTTCTGGGTTTGCACTTAGATCGAGTAATCATTATACATAACTGGTACACGGAGTAACTATGATTAGAGCCCATAATGCCCAATTTGGAATGCAAGCCCATCACCTGTAGCTACTCGTCTAATCAGTTTGCTGTGGCTGCTTTGTCTTTTACCAAACTGCCCTAGAAACAAAAAAAACAAAAACAAAAAACAAACAAACAAGAAAGTTTATGTCATGTCATAGTTGCTGAGTTTCCCAGCATTTTATCTGTATGTCTTACCTTTGGGCTGCCTCTGTTCATGAAACACCACCAGGTCCAGGGGGTTGTTGAGGTGCTCTGCCACCTTTGTCACATCGTGTCCCGTCAGTCGGTTGACACTGTATATTGCTTCATCCTCCAAATCTGTCCAATATATGCGATCCTGAATAGAAAAACAAAGAGATTTGAAATTTTTTTTTATTAACAAATATACATACTATCTGCGGAAACCTTCATCTTCAACAACAACAGTGAAGTTTAAAAAAGAAGACAGATTTAATATCTGACTGCCAGTCACTGATTGCCATGACAGACTGGCATAAAAGGTCTTGAAATTATTTTTCATCTAGGCCATTATGTACTGATTGTTTTACATTATTTGGGCTAAGATAGATATTACTTGGCTAATAGCTCAGCAGTAATAAAGATAGGACAGAGGAAGTAATTTTGTTACCAGCACAATTGAACTGAGTTAGTGAAAGCAAGAACATCTTTGAAGCAATTAGCCTGCTGCCTCTTTGGAATAATATTGCCCATAAGTTTCTCGCGTGGGAGTTGCCCATGTAGAGATTTACCAAGCAGCTTGACATTGTTGCAGAAATTGTTTACCCTGTAGCCAAACACAATGCTGTTTTGTTTGTGTCACACTGAATTAAAGTTTGTTTCCCCATGTCCAATCATATTTGTTGTAATTAAGATTCATTTGTGTTCCTTAACTCTGATATGCTACCATATATATCCCATTTAAACACTTAACATCATCTGCATACAAATGCAATTCATTTATTTAGAATAAACAGCATTTAATATGTAAATATAGTAAACAGCAATTATCCAAAGAAATCTCACTGGGGAGCACGGCATTTTTTGTTTTTGTGATGAAAGGGTACCAATGAAATAATTCTGCAGTTAGTTGCAGACATATATGCTCATCCTAACAATTGCTGTTTGATTAAACTCTCATCCACTTCAGTGGAGGATCTGGGTGAAAAAATTGCCCTGGGATGTTCTTATAATGGCCCCAGGTTACCATGGTCAAAGTCCAAGTCTCTACTCTGCTTCTTCAGTAACAAGTAACATTTGATTACATCTAGGTTTGTGGATTTATAATTTACTTGACAGGAGAGACACATTTTAAGAAAACGTTTAATGCCTGGGGTAAGTTTAATTAAATTTTGAATTGAAGGCATATGAGAAACAGGTTTGGAGGCTAAAATATAATTTATTGAAGTAAGGTTAAACGCATTGCATTTTAATCAAGAAGAGGTTTAAACGGACTGAATAAGTTATATTGTAATGGGAAATGTGCTATTTTAACTGTATCCTTTGACACTTTGAGCATCTAACACACTTTGAGCATCTAACACTCCTCAATTAATGCTCAGCAAGTAACACTTTCCAATATTTTCTGTCAAAATGCAGTACTCCTCCTTGCATTGCAAATCTCAACAGAACTACCAATTAAACACAGTGAAGTGATAAAGATTGTATTGATAAAAAAGCCCATTATTTTCTGATAAAGTAACAGGCATACACCGCTCTACAACATTGATATGGGATTTCAATAATGACAAAACAAAAGCGGTATTATCTTCCATTCGATTTTTTTGTCATCTTAATTATTTCTATTGAACAAATTCCATGAGAAAGAAGAGGTTTGGCCTCTTGGAGGTGGTTTACACTGGAGTGAAAATAACTTGCCTTGTCAGTGCACAGTGGGCAAACACAAGTGTTTAACCCAAACAAAAATGGGCTTTTATAATTAAACAGTTTATGTAGTTTTAGAAAAACATTCTTTCAACTCTGCGCTGTCCTTTTTAGAAAAAGTTTCTGCTGAGTGCCAAAGCAGGAAGTAGTGAGACGTTTGGGTTGGCGTACAATCTGTTTGTAGCATGGTTATATTAAGGGAGAAGTGGATGCTGCATTCAAAGATGAATGAACGTTGCTCACTGGGCACATAGGCCAAAAAAGCCTTGACAGGCTTCCTTACGCCTAAGTGTTTTTGGGCCCATAGAGCATGTTCACTAGAGTCCTTCTCTGTCTGTTCAGTCTGCTGCTTGCTCTTACCAATGTGTATTCCATATTAAAGTTTTTTTTGGAGAGAATAGAATAGATTTGACTTGACTTCTCCAGCCAAGCCAGCTGAGAGCATGCGGGTCAGAATACCTCAGAGATTCTTTTAAATCTCTGTAGCTCAGAGGGTGGTGCTAGGCTGCAGTGCTAGATCCTATTTACAATGAACAGCAGTCTATCGCTAAGCAAGTTGTTTTTGCTGCCTAAAATCAACCTACAGGTACACACTGTATGTATAAACTAAGACCTGTTGCTGCTAATGCAATAATCGGTCAGAAACCACTACAACAGCACTAGAAAACATGACATCCATGGGATGCTGGTAGATATACCTACACCTTACAGTTTATCTCTATTGTGAAAATCCCTTGTGCAATCTATTGCCCCTGTTACCTTGGAAATGAAGGAATAAATACTGCAATTCTCTCATGTATCACTTTAGCTTCTTTCTTGATTTCTCTTCCTCTCTCTAACACATCCTCACAATTCTCTTAAGAGATACTACAGGATAACAGGATACGCTGCACAAGTGGTTATGGAACTTGGTTTCCACGGCAACTACAGACTGCTCAATCTATGCAGATACACATCAATTAAGAAAAACACAGAGACGTTAAGATCATAAGAAGGTTTTTCCATTAGGCTGAGATTGTGTTTAACAGTTTTATGGGTTTTTTTAAAGGGCAAAGTTTGGAAAGATTTGTTTGGTGTCTGTATATAAGTATGTATTTGTGTATCTCTGTGTGTGGTTCACTCACAGCTGTAATCCACGCTCTCCATTTCTGCTGGGTTATCAGAGGACTTAACCTTTCTCTCCCCTTCTCCTTTTCCATCTATCACTGAGCTCTCCATCGCTGTATCTCCACCTCACTCAGATTCAGATAACCTTTACTCATATGACAGTAGTGCTGAAACAATCAAAGACAAATATCAGCCATGTTGATAAAACATGACTCAAATCTACCATTCCATCTCTCCCTTTGCCTTTCTGTCTCCGTGGATATCTTTCTCTGTCTCTTTGTCAGCCTCTATCTCAGTTTTTCTCTTTCAATTCCTCCACTGTCAATCTGTCACTTTTTCTCACCTTGAAAGCTTCAAACAGCAATGCAGACCTGGGCAGGTCAATGCTCTTCATTGTAGAATCAAGGTGAATCTTCCAAGTGTTGAAGGATAGGACTTGCACACACGTGCACAGGCACAAGCTCTCCCGAACACATGTCATTGCATCACTTCAGTCAAAGCCAAGTCTGTCTGCGGTTGTCAAGGGGATGGGACTACATTTAAATTGATATGAAGTCTTTATAGGGGCAAGGCGAGAACAGCCCTTCATGGTTTTGTCCCACAAGAACCTTCTGACATATGCTGGGGCCTTTTAAATTGACACATCTGCCTGATGAGCTTTTGGTGCCTCTTGCATACTTAGATGTCATGCCAGAATACTACAAATGAAAGCTCAAACAAAGCCAACCCACTCAACTTCTGAAGCCTTTGATCTTTTGGGTTTGATTTGTATTCTTGGTTGTATCAGCCCAATTCATAAAAAAATAATGTATGCTTGGTGTTAAATCTTTGTAGGAATCAAATGATGTTAGGAGACATTTTGTGTTAATCTCCACTAAGCTGCAGAAGAGTATTAAAGCCTGGTACACCCACACAGGTGTTTCTAGTTATTTTAGCTGCTTAGACCTCTTATCTGGACTGTGGGTGTGGACAGATAGGGCTTCACTGACATTTTCCTCACTATTCTGTTAAAGCTGTTGTCACACATGCTCAAGTCTCACTTAATCTCTCATTCCTTTAATTGATCCCTGTGTGACAGAATTCAAGAATGTGTTTTCTGTTTGGGTGCGAGTACCAATCAACTCTGGCTGACTTTGATAAGCAAGTTCAAACTGTTTACCGTCTATGATCACTCAATATTTCTTTATTATCTCTGTTAGACTTTTGACATTGTATCTTTTTAGATCCTGGGTGCAAGGCAATTTTGTTTGTACTGAAGTCAAATGTGACCATACTGCAAAGGCCTGTATTTAAAAGGGCAACATTTTGAAATCAATTCATTCCAATGGTATTGTCGCGATCACAGCATCCACTCGAAAAGGTGAAATAAATTTTGGTGAACATTGACACAAATCCATGCCGTTGACCAAAAGAGGAGAGAGGAGTTATTGTGACTGACTAGCACTAGCCCGGCCGGACCGCAGCTAGTGCTCTGCAAGCAAGGGACAACTGTAGTTTGGTGCAGGACCTCTGAAACCAAATCTTCCTACGATGTAATGGTAAAAGGACACCATTATTTTCTTTCTTCCTGACTTTGTTTATTTCCATTGTCTTTTTCTTTCAATCCCCATCCCACTCTCTTCAAAAACTCATCTCATCTTCCCCTCTATCCCCTCAAGTCAAACAAAGAGGGGATAAAGAGTAATGCAATGATACTAAAGCCAGAGAAAGAGAAAACATTACTCTCTGCATGTCTCTGCGATCTACATTTCCTCAGGGCTTGGTGTCTAGGCAGGGGGTGACACAGACTGGAAGGGTTTGTGTTTGTGTGTGTGTCTTTTTATGTGTGTGTTTGGTGGTTGTGTGTTCAGACTTAGATATAGGAACTGTGTGTCTCTCCTCTGCAGTCTTAAGAAAGATTAGTACATCAGAATTGTTCTGTGTATCACTGAGGAATATGAGGGGCTGTACAGGCCACAAGCCACACTGAATGTATGTATGTAAAGTCTGTATTATGGTAAAGTCTATGTGTATATATTAACTCACATTTGTGAAACCTCATATCTCTCACATACTCAAATTAACTGTTGTATGGGTATGTAAAGAAAGGGAATGTTTATGATGATTTTATGCAGGTGTATGAGGAAATGTGAATGCATGTGGGAAGTATGTCAGAAGTGAAACAATGTGTCTTAAAACTTTACATATGAACTTATACATGTTATTTTTGTGATCTTCTCATATAATTAATGCCTAGATTAATAGTATAAGTTAGCATATAACAATCACATTTAGGGTTGCAACTAAGGATAATTTAAATATCGATTAATCTGCAGATTGTTTTATTCCTAATTATTTGCCCTATAAAGTGTCAGAAAATAGAGAAAATTTCTGTTACAGCCTGGGTATTTATTGCATATTATTTTATGTGACCAAATGCCCAAAATCCAAAGATATCTTGTTTAGAATCTGGTTCTCAAATGTGTTTGGCATTTTTGCTTGAAAAGAAAAAGATGAACTGATTATCAAGTAATCGTTGCATCTCTAGTTAGATTCTTCCCCTGCAGCAGCACAAACATGCTTAGAGACCTCTCTATGATGAACAAAAACCATTATTCTCCTCCTCATGTCAATAAATGATACATCATTATCTAGTGTAAAGTATGGCAGGTTACACAACTGGGCTAATCTGCAGTTTAACACAGACCCAGAGTCAAAAATGCTCCTTTGAGGCTCATTTCCCAGATAAGACACAAACTAAATTAAAAGGACAAAAATGGTTCATTGTTTCAGTCCACAACTCAAACAACAGGCAACTCCAAAGAAACAAACTTCCCATTATCGGCCTGTTGGGACCAAGACACTCTGCTGCACTGCTAAAGGATTTTTAATTTGGTCTGTGTCATAACCAACAGAACGAAGACCAGAAGAGCTGAGGGCTATTAATCTCCAGGGATGAACTTTCCGTGCTTGCCTGAAACGTTGGTTTTCTCTCCTCTTCTTTTTTACACACGCACACACACACACATGCAGGCACACTCAGCTGGACATGATGGATGTCCCTTCCTCCCTTTGCTTCTCATCATCACAGTGTGTGTAGCAAACAGAAGAATGGAGAAGGCAATTCCTGTTCACATTTCTCCTCTTTTCTCACCCTCATCCTCCCTCCCCTGCTCTCCTCTGGTTCTCTTTTCCATCTTCCACATCATCAATGCTTGACGGGCTCTAATAGACAGACTCACTCCTGCCTCAATAAATACACTCAAATTAGTTTCATCGATTGCTGTACTCTACTGTGGCTACACTCGTCAGCCCTTGAAAAGATAATCCCTTCTCCGCGTTTATCTTGCTACTAAACTTTTAAAACATCTCAATCTTTCATTTATTTTCAATCAATCTCTCAGTCAGACAATGTTCCTTCATTTACTTCATTCTCTTCCTCAACTTCTTAAGCTCTCAAACTTCTCTTACCAGACACACCCTAGTTTACTCTATAAAATACCAGTATGTGCTTGTTACAGTAACAAGCAACAATACAGGTGTTCCTTAATGACACGTAGTATTCATCAAAAACTTACATGCATTTGTTCTGCAGTATTTTTAGTCCTCCATCTCTGACAAAGAAGCTGGCCCAATGTGCTCTAGTTATAAATAACACCATAATAAAACAATGTCCAATGCTTAAATTTGGCTCGCCGGAAATCTAGAAATACACTGCCAAGATGGGAATCAACTAACAAGATAGGAGAGTGTCACCCACGAGGCAGAGATAAGTGCGCACAGACCTATTTTTCTGTTGTGTATCTACTTTTGGAGGTCGAATAAGGACGTAACTTCTTGTTGCCTTTCAGGTAGAGACCTCCTACAATCAATGCCAAGTGTTTGCATATGATCCATGCCAAGTCCCAAAGTGGGAAAAATTAAAATAAATATATATATATTATGCTGTAATTCAAGGTACATTTGTTTTCTCTTAATATTATGATCAGCTTCATTGAAGCTGTTGAAGCAGCTGGTTTGAAATCGATTAAACCCTCATGCCAGAATTAGTATTAATTTGTATATTTTACTTTCATTAGCCTGATATTTTAGGGAATTTGCTAATACCGTAAACTGGATATTTAGCTGCTTAAGAGGACATTAAGAAAACAAAGCAGATTATACTTTGCAAGAGTCCTACTTTTCTCAGCATGCCAGCATTAACTAAAAGCAACATAAAAGTAACAGCTACCCTGAAGGAAAGAAATCAATATTAAAACATCTGGTCTGGAAAATATGAAAGACTAAAGAAGTAGAATATAAGCTCTCTGTATTTGATGGGGTAACATGTAATAGCATAGTGTGGTACGCTTTACTTGTACTTGTACAAACGAATTACTGGCATACTGTGAGATTCAAAGGTCTCTGGCACCATTAGTTGGACTAGTTTGTGTGGCTGTGATTTGAATCTCAATCCTTCTGTACCTCGAACACAGTGAGGGCGAAGGGGTGTCCCAGGTGGTGAAGGGAGGACAGCAGAACTTTGCGGTTGTCTCCATTCAGATCCACACTGGACAGGAGGTGCAGCTTGGAGTCCACCCAGTAGAGACGCCTGTTAGCAAGTCTGAGAACATGGAGAAGAGAGAGAAGAAAGAGAGAGAGAGAGAGAGAGAGAGAACAAAACCAAGAAGGAAAAAGGAGGATGGAGAGGGAGATGGATGGAGAGAGAGGTCATTCCAAAAGAAAAGGCCTAGGGTGAGAGGTATATGAATGTAATGGCCCAGTAGCTACACCATCAATCTTCTTTGACATGACGGCTGAGGCCCTGTGCTGAGAAAACACAGATGTGATTGTAATATTGCCGGTTGACTTATTTGCTGGGGAAAATATGTGACCTTGAGCAAATTGATTAGTCCTGGTGGACTTCCTTTAAAGGAACACTTTGCTGTATTACAATTCTATCAGCACGTAACAGTCCCCAATACTGCCTACTTTAGGACTCAATTTTTGCGCTCCGGCTATGGGCCACAAAGTAATGTGTTGACTTGCAGTTTTACAGATTCCATTAAATTTAACAGCAACAGACATCTTAGGCAGCATTGGTTACATTTGAAAGTTTTTGTTAACACAATTTAAACATTTCAGCTTGGCACTTTAATGGCTCTTACAAAACTGTGATTTCAAATAAGTGAAAAAAAATGTCAAATGCAAGTCAAATGAGTAAACCTAACAAGGAACTGATTCAACAAAAATGCCAAAAAAGAACTGAAAAAACAAAAGATTTATTTTCATTCACAACTTCACCTCACCTGACTCAGACAATCTCATGCTCTGTGCGAAATCAATGACCAGGGGAAAATAATCCACCCCTTCTTCCAAAGCAGTATAGTGCAAGTCTGGCCAACTCTCTCATTCGCCTTACTCTAAAAAATAATTTGTTTTCATACAGATGTAGTGACACCTCAATTCCACAGAGTGTGGCAACTGTGTGCCTCTCTTTCTCCTCAGGCAAGGGCAGTAGAGAAAAATTGGCTATTGGCCGCAGAGGGAGTTGAAAGGGATGACGGGAGGTATCGACGGCAGAGAGCGTCTGGCTTATTAATTCAGAGGCCCGTGTTCGCTGGCTTGATTGATGAGAGCCAGACACAAACTGAGCCATAACAATAAGAGCTACTCAGGGGTTGCAGCACCCCTAGACTGTTTTCTTCTCTCAGCTCTTGCTGTTTGTCTCTGTTTCTTTCCCTCCCTCCATCTCTGTTATTGTTTCTTTCTTTGAGTTGAATTTACTCAAACCATTTTTTTTTGTCTATCTCCAAAACCAATATCAGCATTATAACTTTGTTTATAAAACTGATTGATTTTCCTGTCCCTGTACATTGTAGTTTTATTTGCCCTCTTCAATGAGTCTTTCATGATCAAAGCTATGTATTCTGTCCTCCCTTACCCAGCGTGATTCCGTTGGGCCACTCGATGTGTTCAGACACCAGAACTTGCCGGTCCACTCCATTCAATCCAGACTTCTCTATTTTGGCCTGACCTCCCCAGTCTGACCAGTACATAAACCTGTGGAAAGGAACATATACCAGTTAGGCACTGATGGGTACAACTGAGTAAAAAAGAAGAAAAAAGGGGCAGTGAATAGGTTTTTAATGTGCAATGTCATAGTCAATTTTGAGAATACAACTAATATGTGACTGAATCTACTGTACTCTGTCACACAATGTCCCTGTCTGACTCTTTGAGCACTCTCTCTGACTATCTCATTTTCTCTCCAATACTTTTACTTCTGAAACAGGCCTTGGAGACACTGAAGGAATGTAGATACTGTGCAAAACAGCAGGTGTCACGTCGTATGTCCAAATACTTGTTAAGCTGTGCTGAACTACAAATTGTGTTTGTATGGTGCAGTGAAAATATTTACTTTTAGACAAAATTAATTTTCTCTTTAAAAACTTATGGCAGTCAGACTTGTCTGGTCATGCTCCCACTCCCACTCCCTCCTTCCTGCCATTCTTAACCTCCATCCTTCCTTACCCTTTCACAACTCACAACTCAACTCCTTTGCCATCTTCTCACGCCCACCCTCAAACCTCTCTCACTCACCCTTGGTGTGGATCAACTGCGATGGCCCGCGGCTCACTCAGCTCAGTGGCTATCAGCACTTTTCTCTTCCTGCCGTCTCCCGTGGCGACTGAGATGCTCTTGTTGCCCGAGTCGGTCCAGTAAATGTTCTTGTGAACCCAGTCGACGGCCAGGCCCTCGGGGGAGTGGAGCGAGTCAATGAGAGTCACCTGCTGCGCCGAGTCACTGGCCTTGTTGATGTAAGCACTGGTGGACGGTAGAAAAGAGCTGTCAGTCAGTGTTGTGGAAATAATGAAATACCATATTATTTAGGAGTACAAAGTTGCATGTTGCTAGATTTGTTACTGTTTATTCTGGTCTCTTTTTCTTGTGAGAAAAAGACTTGATTGGACTAAGTGCCTTAGATACTTGCACATGCTGGGGAGCAGGTATTCTTTACTCTAGATAATGCAATGTCAGGGGCACCCAAACCTGACACCTCTATAACAACCTCAGGCTTCTCACCAAAAAGAACCTCCCTGGGAGAAAGAGTGTCTTTATCTCTCAGCAGCTTATAGAACAACCTGCCTCTTTCTCTGTTTTTGTCACTCTCCCTGTCTGTGTCTCTCGTCTTCTCAATCTCTCTCCATTTTCCTCTTGCTTCCCACTTGCTGTCGGTTCATTCTTCTGTCCCCATTTCTGCTTTTTCTATTTTCCCTTTCTTCCCCAACATTGTCATACGCAGCACATTATTGTCTTCACTACACGAGAGCTATAAAACAAGACAATACAAGACAACCTTGTTAAAAGGTTGGGGAATGCAATGTCCCAATTTACACCCCGTCATCACGTTATTGAAGCGCACAAGAATGGAGTACAGATGGGAGGAGCAGCTTAACTAAAGGAGAAGGCTGGTAGTTGGACCGAGGGATGAGGTAGAGATGGATGAGTAGGGGACTTGGAAGCAGATTGTGTTATTAATTGGCTGTGTTACTGTTTGTCACTGCAGACATCATTATCTATTGGAGGAAATTTAGCCTGCTGCTGGCTAGTGATAGATAATCTAAGGCTTCTTTCTTGTGTCCCTTGGTTTATAACATGGATCCAACATCTGCCTCTCACTTAAAGCAAATTAAAATGGGGGGCCGGAGCAAAGTGGACGTGGATGAAATCCCTTGTGTTATTGGTGCAACAGTGGTCTAATTAGGAACTGTAGATTACAGACAATTGTGGGATAAAAATGACCACAAATTTACTCTGAAACATACCACACTGTGACTAGTATTTTACCATATTTTACTTTTATTTAACTTATAATCTACGATATTCCTTGTCCAATATAATAAACAAATCTCAATTTATTTTTTACATACCCTAGTGTCTTGTAGATATCGTGCATAAAATATCATAATTACTAACCTTTACTAACATATACTTTCACATAGTATTGGTATTTTTTATTACGTCCTTATTAATGACAAATATTCCGATAGACGAGTATAAACTGGATGGAGGGACGATTACAGGGCAGACTAGAGTAAGGAATAAGACAGAGACAGATGAGTCCAAGACCAGTAAGCAGATTGCATCTTTAATTGGCTGTATTATTGTTCGCAACAGACATCTCCATCATGGGGAGAAGTTAACAAGTCATCGACCCGTAGCTTGCTAATAACTATGAATTAGCCAGGAAAATCACACCATCGCAGTGAGGGACAATGAGGAGGAATTGCTTTTAAATACACAGCTTTTTCCATTTGAAAATACACGGCAAATGTTAGATGTTTGGATAAATGGTGTGATCAATCACGTCCTTACAATTAAGATTCAAGGTATTCGGTTATTTAAAAAATCAGTGGAACAAGAAAGCGTTCTTGAAACATTATATATGAGAAGAAGGTAATAAGGAGGTACAAAGAAAAACCATAACTTTTTCATCGAGACTAATTGCCATTTCGTTTCACTTCATTTATTCAGCTTGATGTGTTCATGCTCACCGATTGCCCTAACCAATCAGTTGTGCGTGACATCTGTGCCCCGCCAAAGTCATTTATAGCTGATACAGAAGTCTAAATGTACTGCGCCAATGGCATTCCTTTATGGTTTTGGTGTATAAAAATATATTATTTTCTTAGGGTGAGAGGGGGACAAACACAACCAACAATAACTCCAAGTAGATTTATAAATTCACTTGTTGCTGGCCATGTAAAGTGTACGTGTGTGTGTTTACTGCTGCTTCCAAAGTCGAGTTCATCATGACGAATGAGTTCATTTGTCCTTTCTCTGTCACAAGCCCTTGAGTGTATCGGTGAGTTGGTGTAGATGTATGTGTGTGTGTATGCAGATGAGTAATGGTGGTGATTATTGAGGCAGTGAAATTAAAGAGAGCATATGGCTCAGCTGAGATGATAGAAGGCCCCTCCCACTACCTGTCAACCATCAGGGTGAGACACACACACACACACACGCACACTACACACCCACACACACACAACACACACAACCACACCACACCACACACACACTCACACGCACACGTAAGATCAAAGTAATGATACATACAGTATGAGTAATTGTGTGTGTGCTCATACTATATGTGTGTGAAGGACAAACAGCTTCACCTTTACTGTCGGACCTATGATACACCAGGTGTGTCTGACACACACACACACACACCCCACGTGTGTCTGTCTCCCTACCAGAAGGTGTGACAGGTTGAAGCAGACAAGATGGATGGACAGAGGAAACAGAGTGACAGAATGGCTGGAGAACAAAGAGGGAGAATTATCCAAACTCCCAAAGTCATTCATTGTTTTATAGCAAATATTTTACTTCCATCAGATACTATGGTAAATATCACACAAATCACATGTACCTGTATATTTTACGATGATATAGATCACACCAGAACATCTTGTTGGTGGATACGTCTACATCTAGGGCCACTGCATTCTTCAGCGTGGGAACCACCTGTGCGTATTCACTCTTCAGCAGGTCGATGCGACGGATCTCATGGCGGTTGGTGAACATCAGGTATGGACTCTTTCCTGATGGGGCGGCAAAAGACATTCATGTCACAATCGCGTACGAGAACGTCTCTGCCATTTATTTACTACTTGACATTGGCAAGATTGGACAGACGAGCCAAAAAAGCTCCTGAGGCGGCTGGAGACCCTTGACGGCCATTAACCTATTATTGTAACCCCAAAAGAGTACATTTATCATTCTCAACCCACTCTCTACTGGACATGGGCCATTTGCGATACTGTCAATCATGAGCGTGCTAGTGTATATGTGACATGGAAACATTTGTTGACCTTGATACAATCCATTGTAGCACACATCCAAAACCTGTATTTGAAAGGTGAACTTGCACATCTGCATTTTTGCTAACGTGCAATCCAGACTGCTCCTGAGCCTGAGACAGACAAGGTCCCACTGACTTTATGCCAGTGCTGCTCACTGCACAAATTAAAAATAAGTTTGCCCTTTAATATTTTGATAACATTTAACACAGAAATATTCTCAGAGTGTTGTGTATTATTCTTACATTGATGAGTTGGCAATGGCAACCGCCACTTTTAAATCCATTATCCAATATATTTCAAATCCTGTTCAACAACCATCTAATGACAATTGTACAACTATTTTATGTTGGCTATATTTGTATTTGCCTTACGTCTTTGTCCACTTTGACTGTGATAAAGACAAATCAGTAAGTTAGTCTTTTTAGACTGTTTAAGGCTACAAATCAATTAGTCATTTTCCCCATGACATGCTTTTCAGTATTTTTAAAAACAAACTTATGTCTACAAAGATACCATGGGTGGTGTTGGGTTGTTAATTCTTACTCCAAATAGGGAACATAATGTAAGAGGTCTTGTTTTGCATTTGTACTATTTAGGTCCTTAAAGTATGTATTTTTGATGATTTGAGCATAAATAAATCATCCTAATAAACCATTTAAAAGAAAAATATATTGTGCACACACACACACACACACATGCACATAATGCTGTTTACTTAATTATTCTCACAATTATGCTTTGCAGAAAACACATACATTATTTAAGGTGGCAAAAACTTAAAGCAAAGAAGGTTTAAAAGGGACACATCCATTTAAAGAGCATTGTCTTTGCAACGTGTGTATGTGAGTGTGTGTCCTGCTGCTGGATGAAGCAATGAAGCACAATGTGCAGGTGGATGAAGTAGCCCAAAAACTAGACATGACACATTGTTCTATTTTTAGTGCAACAGCATGTCAAAAATGTGTTTCTGGGTTCTCTTCCTCTGGTGTGTGCAATGCGTGCTGTTTGCTGGCACATCAGTTACCTGGGGCACATTTTTCAGCAGGCTGAAGGTGAGCATGACTCAAGCATTTAAATAATTCTCATGCAGTCGACAAGGTCAACTTCATCTTTAGTACACAGACACAAAAAATGTTGTTTGTGCACGTGCCTGCATACGGTATTTTCACCTCCTATACAAACTGTATATACACTCACAAATCCATGACATTTACCTTACCATCTATATCATTCATCATAGTGCACTCCAATAATTTCCCTTTATTTATATCCATTATTTTTCCAGCAGTACTCTTTTGCCCTCGATTTCTCTCTGTCTGCCTGGTTCCCTCTCTGTCTTTATCTTTTTGCTCTCTTTCGCACAAATACCCACCCATCTCATTTTCTAGTTTCCTTCCTTCATCCTTGCTTCTCTCTTCTATCTGTCATGTTACTCTCCACTCCACACTGTCCAGTAAAGCAGAAATGCCACGTAAAGAGACAAAGTTGGGCAACAGTCCCACACTGACATACACACACACACAAAGACACACAAACTCATACTTTCACACAGAGCCAACCATCCCTCAATAGGTTTCCTCAGCCCCGGTTTAATACGGGCTACTGCACAGGGAGAAAATATTACATTTCTACTACTGTTTGGATCCAATCATTTTCCTCTGACTACTAGGTTTGTAACCATCAATTTTACCTGCAGAGAGAGAGAGAGAGA